AAACCAATGAGTGAAGGTCAGAGGAGCTATGGGATGAAATCAAGGATATTATCCATGAAGAGAGCAACAGGTCATTACAAAGAAAAAAGTAAAATTGTTGTCAGAAGAAACTAGGAAAATTGCATTAGAGCATCTAGAAGCTAAAACAAAGAAAAGAGATTCTGAAATAAAAGAGCTGAATAGACGATTTCAAAAGTCAGCCTGAGAAGACAAAGAAAAGTATTTTAACAAAAATATGCAGAGAGCTGGAGTCAGAGAATAAAAAGGGAAGAACTTGACAGGCATTTTTCAAACAGAAAGAACTGAAAATAAAATTCAAGCCTCAAGTTACAATACTTACAGATGCTCTGGGCAAACTCTTGAATGATCCAGAAAACACCAAAAGTAGATGGAGGGAATGAATACACAAAATCATTGTATCAAAAAGGATTGGTGGAGAAAATTTTCAGAAAGTACCATATAGAAAAGAGTTAATGACAACAAAGGAAAAATTAAAGCTGCATTGAAGACACTGGCAAAACAAGGCCCTAGGAATAAGTGGAATACTGATTGACATGTTTCAGCTAACATGCACAGCCCTGGACACCCTCACCAGTCTATGCCAGGAAAGTTAGAGGATGGCTGCCTGGCCAACTAACTGGAAGGGATCCCTATTTGTTTCCATTCCCAAGAAAAGTGTTCCAACAGGATGTGGATCAGACAATATCATTAATATCACATGGAAGCAAAATATTGCTTAAGATCATCCAACAACAGCTGGAACAGTACATTGACATAGAACTACCAGAAGTTCAAGCTGGGTTTAGAAGAGGCCGTGACACCACGTATATCATAGTTGATCTCAGATGGATTTTGGCTGAAAGCAAAGAATACCAGAAGAATTTCTAGTTGTGTTTTATTGACTATGTAAAGACATTTGACTGTGGACCACAACAAATACTATGGTTGGCATTCAGAAGAACGGGAATCCCAGAACACTTAATTGTGCTCATATGAAATGTACACCTACACTGAGAAGCTATTATCATAACAGAACAAGGGAACACAGCATGGTTTAAAATCAGGAAAAGTGTGCATCAAAGTTGTATCCTTTCTCCATATTTATTCAGTCGGTATGCTGAACAAATAACATGTGAGACTGATTTCTAAAAAGAAGAACATGACATCAAGATTAGAGGAAGACTCATCAACAACTTGCGTTATGCAGTAACTAGAGGGCTCCTAAGGACAACATCAACAGCATTCATGGGTGGAGGGAGATTTCTTAATGGGTCTTTTGGTTATGCAAAATCTCAATCTAGGATTTAATTCTAAAATGGAGGTTGAGATAATGAGTTGCTAAATGTTCTGCATAATAATTTTCAAGGATGCCTTTTGTAAATAGAGTATGACTCCTAAGAGTAATGACAGTCCCAGGACACTTAGTTGTACTCATGAAAAATCTTTCTGAAAGGTCACCTGTGAGCTGGGCAACACTCCTCACTGACCACACCTTCTAGGAAATCTGACTGGTGTAAGATGACTCTAGCCAATCAGAAAAGAGCATGATCACCAACCACATCTTGCTTAACCATCAGCAATGACATAATTCACCTAAAGGGACTGAGTAACTCCATATTTGGGAAATAGCAGAGGGCACCCAATCAGTGACCTCCATGGAAAGCTGCCCACCAAGCTGTGCACCCTACCCCCCAACCCCAACCTATAAAAGTTGGCCTGTAATTTCCTCATTTACAACTTTGCTGCCTTACCCTGCCTTCTCCAGCTTCAGACAGCAAATCCACTGTGAAATCTGCTAATAAACTCCTTTGTTTCACTTAACCTGGTTCTCCACACCCCCTTTTTTTTTTTACAATCACTTCCTGCTTTATTTATAGCTTTGAAAACCCAATGGAAGATCATCTATAAGTTAGGTATTAGTTGACAGAAATGAATTTAATTTTTCATTTATGGGTTTTGTCTTCTTTTTGCTTCTGTTGTTTGGTTGCTTTTTTAAAAAATTTAGGTTGTTTATTTTTCATTTCAATGAACATCTACAGAGATTTTGGGATTCCATTCATTCATTGTTGCACCATTC